TCTCTCCGCGTTCATCATACTCTAGTAGGCTCGCACTCATGCGCTGTGGCGACAGTCCAGCCATCTGAATGCCTAATAAGGATGGGTGCTACAGTCGTTATCACCGAGGCAGTCGGGGTGTGTCAACGCAGCGTTGGTTTCGATGCTTTTTCAGCCGCAACGATCGATGTAAAATGGGCCTTCGAAAACCCATGCACAGCTGACACACCCCGACTGACTTTGGTGATAAGGAGTGTAACTACAAGCCAAATGCAGCACATCACCGCTGTTTGTGGTTTCTGTTAGGGCGCTTCCCAAGCATCGTGCTCTTAATACCGATCTATTTCTGCAGTGTATGTTGTATGGCGTGGTGGCGTAGTGGCAAGTGGTCCGCTCTCCAGGTGCCCGGTACGGGGTCGAATCTTAGATCGACGCTCTCCCGGGCCAACCTAGCCTCCCAGTGAATTGGTACCAGGCCAGTCCGGGAGCATAAAACACTGACTCCTGGGTCACCCGGATCCCGCAAGCAATGAGCCATAACACATTCATAACGCGCCACATCCCGAAACGGACTGGTCGACGGCAAAAGCTTTGTCCTTCTTCTATATAGGAAAATGTGAGTAAAACATGTCTGAAAACTAGAAACCGTGGCCTTAGTCCCTAGTAACCTTGATGGGGTGTTGAAGGGCTCCTTGTGGGAAACTGGGACCAGCGTCACCCGAATGGTTACCAATACTTGCTATTTCTTCACTCACCTCTACCCCTTTAAGGCATAGTCAAAAGCCTCATCGCCATTACGATAATTCTACTTATCCACGAGTCCTGTGAACGCCCCTCCAATTCTGTTAGCGCGGGAACTGGAACCCCGGTTAAGGAAAGGATAGCATTTGGGCGTGAAAGCTCTTGCGTTGCAAACGCCAATGATAGAAGACTTTAATATAAATCAGTAACAATATCAAGCGAACAACTTAGGGAAAGCCAACAGCCCAGCGATAAAGAACTTCTATGCCTTCTACCATCAACAGTGAAACACGGGTAGAAGGCCAAACAAGCGGCCAACACACATAACAAACCACATATAGCATTGAAACCGTCGCCAATATGGCATGCAAAAATCGTAATGACCGACTAGTTCGGCAAGGTTCGGTGAACACCGATAAGCTAAAGGCGATGATGGGTTGTTCATAGTGAAATCACACAGGGAAAAACCAATCCGATAGAAATCAGCGTACAACATTACGCTGATTATAGAAAAAATCCCGACAAGCTAAAACAACTAGTCCAATTCGTCCTCTCCCAACGGTGCTAATGTCTTTTGCGTATCGAGTGCTACCATAATTTGCTCTTCAACGAGCTCTTCAGCCTGCTTGTTGTCAGTATCCGTACCACCTACACGATAAAAATTTGTTAATTAACACTAATATTGTTCCATGGGTAAGAAAGACTGTTCAAACCTCTAAGCGATATCCTAAGCTCACGCTGAGCCGCGATTTTCTTGAGATTTCTTTGGCGAATCACATCGAATGCTGCCATTATCTTTCTGAAAAGATCATGTGAAACGTCATATGCCCAACACACTATTATTGGGACTGATTTTGTGGTGCCTGTTGGGAGCAGGGAACGTCCTGAGAATTGGCATCCTCCGCGGGGGGTCGTATTTGGTCCGTGAAGGGAGGGCGTCGTTCTCCGTCTGAGGAACTTCTTAAGTTGTTTTTTTCTGTGCACGCCGCTCACTTCCACAACGAATTTGGTAAAAGTAGCAAGGCTGTGGGCAGGATGAAGAAAGGAGGGGGGGTGGTAAAAAAGCAGAAAATCAGAGGGGGGGGGTAGTACTCCCCCAAAAAATTTCCCCAGCGAGATGTAGCATGCACGATATTCGCACCAGGACCAAATCGATTCAAAGCGCAAAGTCGAAGTCGAGCTAATCATAGTTATGAGCTCGTCATCGCAAGGTCAACCTTCCAACTTACACCCTTTGATCTAAAGAAGATGGAGGCGAAGTTCCCTCACTCACCTTCGCTTCTCAATAACTTCCTGGCTAGCCCTATTCTTCTCTTCGTTGTCTTCACGTTCGAAACGAACCGCTGTTTTCTTCAGGTTATTCTTGATCTCCTTAACAAGACTCATTTGAATACGGTTACAGTCCTGTTCCTGCGGATGCTGGGGCGTTTCAGAGGAGCTGGTTGGCTGGCAACGCCAGCCTGTTCGCCACCACTTAAGGAAGCTGTTAGGCGACCACCAATGGAGGACAATCGGCTAGCGTCGCGTTAAATTCAGGCTCCCTATAACGCTTCAGCGCCCACAGATAACAAAACTGCAATCAATTTGAGGCGCTTTATTTAGCAAAGGGTAATAAATCATGAAACTGGTATCAAAAACTGACCTTCAACTTCTGTTCACTTAATTTTACGGGTGGACGGGGACGCCATTTGAACTGGGATAAACGTTCCAGTGCTTTCCGGCAGAGTTCTCGACCCTAAAAATACACTAACATACTTGAGGGAATCGACACACAAGAGCCAGAAATAAGGAACGAACGGAAGAGGGGGGGGTCTTCTACACGGAAGTTACCTGGAAAGTATATAGCCTAAAACCAAGATCAGCTCCTATTCTTCCTCCGAGCGTCGAGCATGTCACGAAATATCGACCTGTTGGATCCCAGTATCCCTAAAAGTTGAATCTTCAAAAGTGGTAGAAAAAAAAGGCATTTCCCACTGTTCTTAAGGTATAGCATAGGACAAAGGACAAACATACATCAGCAGAAGCTAATGTGAACATTTGTGGTCCTGCCGCGAAAGGAGATAGATAGATAGATAGATAGATAAAGAGAGAGAAAGAGCAAACAGTTAAACACAGAGGCTGGCCAGAAGCATGCGAAAGGTGGGAGGAAACATTAGTGCACTTCCAGCTTGTTCTGGGGGGGGGAACCTAAATTGGTAGCCACGTTCGAATGGCTTAGGCTTGTAAAAACATGTAAATTTGTGTAACCAGAAAGGCTCACTTGTACCATTTCGAAGCTTCGCAAGAATCTACAGATATCACCAGTGCGGGACCTGTTGGTGAACATGAACAAGCAAAAGAGAAGCAGCGAAAAAGCTAAATGCCCCCTCAATGCAAGCAGCGCCAAAACATGCTTACTCGTTGACAATTTCACAAAGGGACGCGGTGAACAACCTCTATCATTTGTGAAAAGTAGGAATGCGTGAGTTCTCCGTGGCCACAGAACAATTTAGAGAAGATGGAAAGGACAAGAGCAGAGTGTGGATGTGGTTTTTGAGTGAGTTTATACTTCGCGATGCGCTCGTGCCTTCGGAGCAATCCGAGCCAGCGACGAGTTGACGCCGACCGCATACGGTTAACGTCGATCGAGTGCAGCACGTGCAAACGTGAAATATGAACGCGCTCTAAAAGGTTGAGCAAGTGCGGTCCGTAGACCCGAGAGTAAACTGGAACAGAACGACAAGCTGACCTTATTAAAGCCTGGGTGCTCTACAACATTTGTGCGCTTGGCTTCTTGCAAGGTTGTGTCGACAAACATTACATTACCACCATTCGACCGTTTCGCCAGTATAGCTAACCATCCACCATGAGGAGCCCACGACACCTAAATGCTCGCTGCTTGCCGATCCTCAAACCGACGAAAAAGCAAACGGTGTACCTCGTTGAACTGAACACCTGGATCCAATTTGCTCATCAATTTGGGTGCATGACTATTAGGTTCAAGACGATATACCAAAGGTGTTACTTTCGCCTGATTTCCAGTAAGAACACAGAACTTTTCGCCTAAACGACAATGAAGCTTGCTTGCTGTTAATCAAGAAACAGAAAAGAAAACGAAGAAAAACAGCAGTGCTCATACCGTAAGGCTGCCAACCAAAGTTGATGAACGGTTCAGGAAGTGGCAGATTCATCAAAGAAACATCTTTCTTGTCAATTTCGAAGATTTCCAAATGGTACGTACATCCTCCTACATACTTCACTTCACCACCTTCTTTCATTTGCTTCTTCGAGTACCTGAAAGGGTTAACAAAGGATTTATATTAAAGCACATTCTCCGATTATCAGCGAAACAGTGGCAAGTAGCGATGGGGGTGGGCCGGGGTCAAATGAGTAAAATCTCTAACTTGTACACTGACTGGCCCATGGAAACATTTTATAGGGCAGTTAGCGCAACACTGACTGGTCCACGAAACATTTTTTGGGGCGATTTGCATTTAATACTCAGAATGGACGTAGAGTGTTGAATGTCACGCTGCCGCACGGCAAGGTATGCTCCTACTCTCCCTGGGACGAAGGGTCATTCACTAGCGGCTCAATGAAAGTAAAATGTTTAGTGGTGCCACGCTGCCGCACGGAAAGGTATGCTCCTACCTTCCTTGAGACGAGGGTCACCGCGAACTCAGCTTAGCCAGCTTCCTCTAAGGCCTCATCCCTATGAAGGGAGAGGCCAGCTTGTCCCGCCTCGTAGTTCACCTGCGACTCATAATTTGAGCATCCGCAACGTTATGAATACGTCCTGACCTCAGCCTCTGTTGGTTAGGCATCTGCACCAATCCAAACTCAGCAGGAAGAGAGTCCGTGCACTAAAAAAAGAGGGAATAAAAACAATGAAAAAGTAAACTCCGTTGAGAATATTCCTAAAAAACGTACTTCAGCATAATAGGAGAGAATGTTTTGCGTAGGGCACCACTGGAAGGTCTTGATATTTTCCACAATGATGTTGCGATGATCGACCAACGCGAATTTCTCGGTTTCAAAGACAGAAATACCATTGACCTAAGGTAGGGAACATTATGTGGGATAAATCAGCACTAGGGAGATTACATTAAACTACCTTCTTTTCCTTCTCGAGTTTGTCCTTTTCTGGAGCTTTCAAACAAGCGAAATATTTCTCATCGAAAGACCACCTGTCAAGGGAGAAAACCAATCAGAAAAGAAGAACAAAAAAAATAATATGAATGCAATAGCAATTCTGTAAGACCCAGATGAGATTTCGTGTCATGTGAATCGCTTGGGGAAAGGAATTTATTGTAAAGATGTGGCCGACCCCTGTACTGACCACTTTTCCAAGTCTGAGTCAAAACCCCCATTTGTCGAGAAATTGGTCCTAGTGCACAGTTTAAACACAATCACAACATATGCTTGGCACGCCGCCGGCGCTTGCGCAGCAAGTAAGTACGCCAAATCACCAAATTCGCTGAAAACTTACATCAAGAGATAGCTTGACATCCTCCCCCCCCACCCTCAGCCGCGTGCACCACCTTGATATTCATTTCATTCACATTTAGCATTCAGATAGCACTAACACCAGTTTGAGGCCCATGAAGGGTGGACCGCTGGATCAGTAAAAATTGAATTCATAATTAGCAGACAGTCCTGCAAGGTACAGCTGTAAGAAAGTTTGACGAATTTTAAGATGACCTGCATGAGCTTTCAATGCCCTTGAATCTCTTTTAGGAGATCTAGGTAACGAATTTCCGGTAGGGCCCTCTTCGTGGGTGCCGCGCGATTTCGAGCCAAATGGATGGGGTATTCGTAATC